TTTCATTTCTCTTTTCATGTAACAATAACAGCAGCATATTCTTCAAAGTATAATGTACACCCATCCTTTCTTCTCCAGGTTCTTCTTTGTCTGATGATAACAGCAGTATGCATCTTCTTTCTGTATTCTGGTTTACCCTTCTTACAAGTAGCAACTACCATATCACCACATCCAGCTCTTGGGAGTCTGTTTAATCTTCCATGGAATCCCTTAACAGAAATGATTGTGAGAGTCTTAGCACCAGTGTTATCAGCGCAATTAACGGTTGAAGCATTATTCAAACCGCAAGTGACTCTGAATTTATTTCCTTGTCTTCCTCCAGCTCCTCTCTTTGGCATTGCAAGAACTAGTTTATTTTGTAGGGTTATTATACTGCTGTTTTATATTTTTTCCTTTTTATGGGGTTTTATTATTTCAATTAATTTATTATTTTTTTCTCTAAAAAATTTTTTAATTTATAAAATTGTTTTAAATACAATTAAAATAATTTTTGAGAAAGAAATTTTATTATGTCTTCTTTTACACTTTCTTTAAGATTTATTCAACTAAAGTTGGTATTTCTTCTTTTTCGTCTTCACCTTCCTCTTGTTCTTTATTTTGTTGTTCTGAAGGAAGTTCGGCATCAGCTAATTCAATATCAGTTTCTTTAGAATATGGTGCACGTTTACCAGAGACATATTCTTTATGATGATTTTTAACTAAACACATAAAGAAGAAAGCAACAATAAGAAGAATAAACACAGGGATTTGAGCAATACGATATGCATAATTGTATTTATACTTGCTAGTAGAAAATGCATGTGCACAAAGTTGTTTTACTATTGTTGAGAAGATTAATGGGAATACCATTCCACCAGCTCTTGCAGCAATACGAGTAACAGCAGAAAATTGTGCTAATTGTTGAACAGGAGCAAGTTCCATAACTAATTGACGTGAAGCAGTATAAACTACACTAAATGCTGGACCAATAAATATTATTGTTGGGATAATAATCCATTGTGAAAGTATTTTAGTACTTGAAACTTTCATTCCAGTGAGAACAAGACATCCCATTCCAAAGAATAACAATATCAACATTAATTGTAATGCTCTCTTTGGTCCAAATTTATGTAAGAAAAATGCCCATGGAACACCACAAAGTAATGCAGTTACATTTAAAGCTAAGAATACAATATCTGTTGCAGTTTTTTTCATTCCACACATTGTTGTTAGTAAAACAACAAATAATCCATTTACAACACTTAATGCAGATAATGTACAACACCATGAAATAAACATAAATACACAATCTCTACTCTTAAAATAATTTTTGAATGAATCAATCAAATCTAATCCAATAACTTTTAATGTTTGTATAACAGAACGTTTAGCTGGTGGAGTACTTTTTTCTATACTAAAGACATATGGTAAGAAGACATATCCACCAAGGAAAAAGTTAAATAAAATTAATTGTCTTAATGGACCAAAATCAGGTTCTGCATGTGTAATTTGTAATTGATTAACATTTGAGTAGTTTCCCCAAACAAGAGAACAACAAAATGAAACACCAATAGCAAGAATTGCACCAGTAAAAGAAACTGCACCTCCAACACTTTGTGCTAATGTTCTATTTTTTTGGTCCATAATATATGGAATTTGACAATCGTAGAACAAACGTACTAACTCAAAAGATGTTCTTGCAATACAAAACAATATACAAAGTAACCAAAAATGATAATAAAATACACCAGCAATCAAAAAACATGTATAATATGTAGTTGCACAAATTAATACTGCACCTTTACGAAATGAATAATAATCACTAAGACCTCCTACAAAAGGAGAAGCAACCATAGCAATACAATTAGCAACAGCATTACAAACAGTTGTCATTTGAACACCAGTCGAATTTTCATATCCTGCATATATTGATAATAATTGTAATGACGGACCAACAGTTACATTAACAATACAATTATAAAAATGGTAACTAATTTCAAAGAAATACCATAATATAACATTCCAAACATTAGTTGATTGTGCCTCAGTGAGTTGAGTAACATTTTGTTGTTGAGTATCACTACTTGGAGCACTAGTTGTTTCTACAAGATGGGTATTTTCTGAAGCTGACATCTCAGTAAGAATTTTCAGTTATTTCAGACTTTTAATTTTTTATTTATTGGATAAAAAAGAATTTTCTTTTCATCTTCATCAGTTGTTTTGATTAATTTTGATTGATAAAATATAATATAAATAGTTTGTCATCAAATTAATTTGATAAACAAGATATTATTATGAATGCTTGTTTGACTTAATTTCCCTACTTTTATAACAGAAGAAGATTTTTATTATTCTTTACAAAATGAACACAAAAAGAATTAATAAAAAGAAATACAATTTAATAAATTTCAAAAAAGTGCAAGGATTTATTCACGACTCTTAGTTTTATTATCACTAAACAGAAGTTATGAAAACAAGAAGATTGTACTACCTCAAAAAAATTAATAATAAAAAAAGTTAGGGTTTTTAAAGAGATTAAAAAGAGAATTTCAAATTAACAATTCATTATGTCTCAAGACACTTTTAGATATCATTTCTATAATAATCCAACTGTACTCATTGCTGTTGCTGGTGGAACTGCTTCAGGAAAAACAACGTTCTGTCAAGAAATTGCAAATACATTAAAAGGAGAGAAATTTGTAGTTATTTCACAAGATTCATTTTATAGACCATTAACAAAAGAAGAACATGATAATGTTGCTGAATATAATTTTGATTCTCCAAGTTCATTTGATTGGAATTTAATAATTGAAACATTAAAAAAAATAAAAGCAAAGAAAAGTGTATCATTACCAGTATATGATTATGTTACTCATTCAAGAAAACCAGATTGGGTTCCAGTTGAAACAGGAGACGTAGTAATATTTGAAGGATTATATACATTTTATCAAATGAAAGGTTATGAAAATTATTTTGACATGTTTGATTTAAAGATATTTATTGAATCTGATAATGACACTAGACTTGCAAGAAGAATTTTAAGAGATATGAATTATCGTGGAAGAACACTTGACTCAGTATTGTTTCAATATAAAAAATTTGTTAAACCTGCATATGATAAATGGGTTTATCCACAACGTAAAAGAGCTGATATTATTGTTCCATGGGGAGAAATTGAAAAGGCACAAACGCCAGGAGTGTTATCACAGATGCCAGCATTAAAGATGGTTTCTCAATATATTGAACAATTTTTCATACAAGGACCATATAAAAAGATTTCAAGTATGAATAACTTTGGAATAAGTGGTGATTTAGACTATCAAAAAGGAAGTCTTTCTGATGTTGATAATTAATGCCTTTGTTTTTTTTAACTTTTAGGTTTTGAATTAACTACAAAAATTCAAATGAATAACCCTTCTAATACTCCTCCTGTTCCTTTAATATTATTTCCAAAATTAGATCAATCAATTGTTGATGAGTGCATTAACCAAGCAGGTGGTGATATTGGAAAAGTAGCTGAATTACTTGCTATGTCAGTTGGACCATTAAATTATGATGATGAAGATGAATTATTAAACAATAGTGAATATGGAAGAACTAGTGAAAGTAGTGAGGACAATTGCGAGATCCAACAAAATATATTACAAAGCTCACCTTTACCTCCCATCATAAATGAAAAATGGGA